AAAATGCTAGCTGAATGCTATAAGGAGCAGAATGCTAGCTGAAAGCTGTAAAAAGCACAATAATTAAAAGCTAAAAGAAAAAAAGCCTTGGCCAACAAAAGTCTTGCCATATTAACATATTCTTAGTTGAAAGCTAAATGTAACAAAGGGTTAGCTAAAAGATAAAAATACCAAAACACTAGCTAAAGTGGTAAAGGCTAACTAAAAGCTAAATTTAGAAAAAGGGTGAGCTAAACAGTAAAAATATGAAAGCACTGGGCAAAAAGCAGCAAAAAAGTGAGCTAAAAGTGAGATGCATTAAAAGGTTAGCCAAAAGTAGCCAAAAGCTAGCTAAAAATTAAATGCAGCAAAATACAAGGTAACAGTTAAGGTTGAAAAGGGCTCGTTAAAAGAAGCAAATGGTTGGTCAAAAGTATCAACAGGTTTATGAAAACTGAAAGGCGAGCTGAAAGTAGCAGAATGGTAGCTAAAAGAATTGAGAGAAGACAAAATAAAATCAGTTTTCTGCAGCAGATTTCTTATAGAAGAATATTTCTGAAGAAACAAGAGATCTTCATGCATTTCTATGGCGAAAATATTTGTAAACAAAGATAAATACATAGAAAAGTATTAAAGTTACAAAAACCAAAACTCTCAGCACCCGTTTCCTGAACGAGCCGAACCTTCTGACGTATGAAAAACTAAAACACAAAGTATCCAGAAGCAGTTGGATCACAGAAACCTTCTGGAAAAATAAAAAACATGTACAACAATGTGACGCAGACTCAGCGTTTACTCGACGATAAACTCTGACCTCCGCAGGAATTCACCGGCTTTTGCGGCGCTCTGTTCATCGGCGTCGGGGTCGTCGGCGCCGTGCCCTTCGGCCTCTACGTGGACAAAACGAAGAAGTTCATCGAAGTGGCAAAGATCAACCTGAGCCTCACCGCTCTGGCGTGCGTCGCCTTCTCAGTGGTGAGAAAATAAAAGGTCCTGTCTTTGATGTAACGTCGACGGTTCGGTTTTTAACCTGCCCGTCGTCTCCAGGTGTGTCTGATGCCGCAGCAGAAAGCCGCCGTCGCAGTCGTCTGCTCTCTGTTCGGATGTTTCGGTTTCTCCATCTACCCCGTGCTCATGGAGCTCTCAGTGGAGTGCTCGTACCCGGTCGGAGAGGCCACGTCGGCCGGACTCGCCTTCGTGTCGGGGTATTAATGACCGACCGGCGCTAATGCACCGGGCACAGATACGTTTCAACTTTTAGTGACGTAAACCTAGATTTTTTTTTTTTTTTTTACCTTCTCCTGTTTTTAAAACGGCTGCATGTCGGGTGTCTAAGTGAAACGTCCGTTTCCTTCTTCCAGGCAGGTGCAGTCATTCGTTTACATCCTGGTACTTCAGGCTTTGACCACACGGCTCACCGACTCTCCTCTGTCCACCTGCGGGGACGACGTCTTCAGCTGGAAAGGTGAGTCTCTTCCTGTGGACACGTCCACCAACAATCCGAGTTGCTTGTTCAGATTATTCAGTTTGAAGCAAGAAATTGTTAGATCAGCGAACAGCAGCCGACGTTTTATTTTTAATCATTTTCACAGTTTTTAAATTAGTTACGCCTTGTTGTTTTACACATCCTCCCAACTTTAAAACATTCATCTTACTAACCTAAAATATTTGTTTAAATGTCTAAATTAAATATCAGAATATCTATTTTTTTCAACAGTAGTAATAAATATGTTGGACTGCTGCAGAAAACGCCTCATTTTTCAGCATAAATTATCTTTTTTCTGACAAAGCTAAACATTTAAAAAATAAAAGAATGCCAAAATAAAGAAGCTTGCGTCGCAGCGGCCAAGTTTTAAACTAGGATCTTCTGAAGTCGAGTAAAGGCAGAGCTGCAGCCATTTTGGTTAAAAGAATTGCAAAATAATTGGAACAATGGACTTTTTTTGATAAATTTATGCTTCAATAATTAAAACAGGACCTTAAAAATCCTGTAGGCTGTGCCATGTTCACACTGCAATGCATTCTGGGTATGTTTGCTTCAGTAAGCTCCCTCCAGCTTGAACATCAATTTTGGACAGTGTTCTTGACACCCTTGTATGAACCGGAGCGTCTCGACAGGGAGGAGAATGGACAAATGATGAAGACGATGAGAGTGTCGGACTGAAGAGCTGCTGATGATGAGAGGGAAGACGCTGCAGAGAGCTCTGCTTTCTTTCACAAACTGTTCTCTACAAACATTGGGATCAAAACAGATGTTAGAATACGTACATTTTACATTTTATATAATAGTACGATTCCATCCATTATCTCCCGCTTGTTCCGAAGTCGGGGGGCAGTAGTTTGAGCAGGGAGGTCCGGTCATTTCTGCTCTTCTGGAGGATTCCAAGGAGTTCCCAGTCCAACCGAGAGGCTCTCCAGTGTGTCCTGGGTCTTCCCTGGGTCGGACTTGCCCGAAGCACCTCCCTAGGGAGGCGCTCAGGGAGCATCCTTACCAGAGTTCATGACCACAGGTGAGGGGTTGCACAACTTCATATTTTTTAAAGTTGACTTCAACATGATAAAAGTTGAGTTGACGTCGACTAGTCGCTGTGACATCATAGTGTAGTGCGTGTCAAGACTTGGCCTGCTCCTCGCCTTCCATCGGCTTGGAAGAATCCTTTTTGTAGCCAGCAATCACCCGACTGCAACTAGTTGATGTTAAATTTCAAAACTCGCGAGATGTCCTAGAATCGACTAGTTGATTCAACCGCTACTAGGAACTTAGACCGACCGGTAAACGGAGAGCTTTGCCTTACATCATCTCTCTCTTCACCACAATGGACCGGCACAGAGTCTTCAACACTGCACCGATCCGTCTGTCAATCTCACGCTCCATTCTTCCCTCACTCGTGAACAAAACCCTGAGATACTTGAACTCCTCCACTTGAAGCAGAACATCACCCTCGACCTGAAGAGAACAATCCACTCTTTTCAGACTGAGGACCCTGGACCAGATTTTGGAGGTGCTGATTCTCATCCCAGCCGCTTCACACTCGGCTGCGAACCGCTGCAGTGAGAGCTGGAGATCACAGCACGAAGACGCCAACAGGACCACATCATCTGCAAAGAGCAGATAGTACTATTACAAAGTAATAATATTATATAATAGTAATGTCTTTGACTCTACACATCCATTCATCATCTTCTGGTTGTCCTAATTTGGGTCACGGTGGTTTTGCTTTAGCCTTCTAGCTTTAGCGTTAGCTTCCAAGCTAATATACTAAACAAGTTGATCACGTTTGATCGTTTCCACCCAAATGTGCGTAACTGCACAAGTACTCATACAAAATACAACTTTTATCGTCGTGTATTATATTTTTTTAGCCTCGACTCGTGTTTTAGGCTCCACTGCAACCAATGGACGTCAACCTCCCAGAATGCACTGCACTGGTGAAATAATGGCAGTAAACGTTTACAGTGATACACAAACTGTTGGTAGAATGTGGAAATAAAAGCGTGGAGGCCAACATGTAGTCTGCAGTTGATCTGTTTAAATCTCACTTTGTAAGACTTCATGAGGGCGACTCAGCGACTTCCACACCAAACTCAACATCTGTAAAACTGGACCACAGCTGTTTTTATGCTGCCTAAGGTCATGTAGCTGTGGTAGCCATCTTGAATCCTGAAGCTGTAGATGTTCATTCCGTAATTATTTTCTTAGATGTTGAATAAAATCCATCCACGAGGTCATGAGGTATTTCGCTAACAGTACAAACACAAAAATGGGTCCAAACCTTCTAGTTTTCTTTTGTCTTTAAATGTGAAGAGACTCGATAACCGCACCAGGCTGCGAATAAACCCGTCAAAAAAGTTTTTTTAACTCTAAAGAACATAAAGCGTAAACGTTCTCCCCTCTGGTCCTCAGTGCCGATGATGGTGATGGCGGGACTGAGCTGCTTCTTCACCTGCGTCTTCGTCACCTTCTTCAACACTCGCTACAGACGCCTGGAGGTCGAGGAGCGAGCGGCGTGCCGGCCCGCGGGCCCAAACGAGCCCGTTGCTGCAAGCAGCTCGAGTCTGAATGAGAAAACCTTACAGGACGTCAGGACTCATAAATAACACGAGAACTCATAAGTTGTTGAATTGAGCATCTTTGCACAGTGATGGTTTCATACAAACCTGGGGCCAAATGTTTAACGAGGGAACGTCTTATTAATCAGAACTCTCACGCACTAATAATGTTTCCTGAAGAGCATCTCTGTTTTCTGATTTATGTGCACCGATGTTCTTTTTTACTGCGTCTCACTTTATTTAACTTTATGGAAACTTTTCTCCGCTCAGGAAACGAAGACAAACTCTGGCATCAGTGGGTGATGCTTCAGCTGCTAACAAAATAAAATGGACTCTCAGGTTTCTGCGGCTGTCCAGGGGCGGCCGGTCCATTGGGGCGCAGCGCTACAGCAAAAATTAATTCGCCTCACAAAGTAGTTCCTCCTAATAAAGAACGTAAAGGACTCGTTTACTGAGCTTACTGTGTCTTTGACACTTTTAATTGGAATTTAAAAGGATTTCTAGTGATTCGTCCTTTGTTTACTTGTTTACTGTTAAGGGGCGGGACCAGTCAGTGCCCCGTGTTCATCCACCTGAACAGCCAACTTCAAGAGTCTCAGATTTTCTGCCCTGTGGACTCATTCGGCTGGTTTTAGCTCTTTGATGACCGGACGTCTGATTTATTTGGGACTGTTTGTCACGATGAGACACAACCTCAACCTGCAGGAGAAAACACGAGACAAGTTTGTGCACAAAAGCAAACGAATCAAATATTACGCCACATAAGTCCTATTTTTATCACAGAAAGTGAAACACGATTACTGTAGTTTTCGGACTATAAGTCGCTGCTTTTGTCACAGGCTTTGAACACTAATTTATTTATTTTTTGACGGACTAACGCGCTTCACGCCACCAAAACATTTAGCCTCGTCACACCCGGGCGCTCACACAGCTGCCCAATGCACGTCATGACTCGGTGAGCACACCTGTATAAATAACGATTAAAAAAAATCAGACCAATAAAATGACTGAACAGGTCACAGTGGAGACGTTTCTCTGAATAATTTCTGCCCCCAAGGAGGAAACTTTGTGCATCATTGCTTCATCCTTTGCACAGGAGGAAGATCAATGACTTCCTGGTAGGCTACTGTAGTTTTATTTTTTTACCAGTAGGGCTACAGGCACCGCTCAGAAAAAAACATTTACTGTACGTATGTGTGTTACTGATACGTCTTTAATTCAAAGTTTTTAAAACTGTAAATATCTCATGTTACAAAGGGGACACCTGTGACTTGTATACAAGCGTGGCCTATATATACACAAAGTTTTTTATTTAGTTAAGTCTGTGGTCGCACTTTACAGAACCTGCATGAAAATCACTTTTCACCTGCATCCTGGTACCATGATTATAATTTAGTGTATTCATGTTTCTGGCACATAATTGTTTATTTGATCCTGAACCAGTAGCAAACCTGTCGTTTCTCAGTTTGTCGTTTAAAGGTACTCATTGCAAATAAAATTTCTAACCAAACAAAACCTGCGCCGTGTTTTTCTAAAACTTGTGATTGATGCTTCTTCAAATGTAAACTTTCAAAGAAACATTTGTGACCGGCTGCCAGCTACCACCTTTGTTTACAATGAGCGCGTACCCGCATTCCAGCATCGCAAATCTGTATCTGGAGTAAACTCTGTCAAACTGCCCCGTCTGAGTAAAGTCCAGCTTTAAATGTTGCTACTTTGGATCAATAAACATTGTGACCTTCAGGATCTGAAATAAAAAGTTTTCTTTTTATTCCATTTTTGTTCTCACATATCAGATCTGGTTTTCATACCTAAAGTCTGGGAGTTTTTATTATTTGTCTCTGTGTAAACAGAAAGAAGCCGACTGAGCAAAATGCACAAATTTATTAAATTTATTTAAATGAATAAAGTTGTAATTTGAAGCGGGAACTTTTTGTCGACTCGTGGAGCTAAAAGAAGAGCAGAGAGGTCAAATTAAAATTAACTGAAGGTTTTTAAGCTCTGCATCAAAACAAAAACAGCAGAAACGAGCAGGTGGATAAAGTCGGAGGAGTTTTTAATGTTGTCCCTGTTTCACTTAAAACAAATGTAAAAAAGTCGAGCGCTCTCCGGCCTCAGCTTCCTATGAACGTTTCTCCAGCTGCGTCTGGACCCAGACGGGTTAATACAAAACATCCATTCACAAGAAGACGAGCAGGAGATGAAAGATAACTCAACGAAATGAAAAGTCACAGGTAGAGCAAACTAACGAAGGGTTCCTGTTTGAGTTCTTCTCGTTGGCAAAGATAAAATTAAAACGATGAGAGGAGGAGGAGGAGAGTCTTGATGCAAGAGCTGGTGGTTTGTCTCAGAGCTGCAGGGCGCAGAACTGCTGGTAGACGGCCAGGATGTGCGGGTCGAGCTCGGCGGTGAACAGCAGGTTCTCCAGAGTCCCCATGTACTGCTGGATGGTCCCGTGGTGCTGGAGGAGGAGGCGGGGACAACAGCAGATTCAAAATTCATTAAGGAGGCAGCACAGGTCCAAAGACATGTTTACCAGAGAGCAGGGACACCAGCTATGTTGGACGGTTTGGAGACAGACGTGGACAGAAGGACAGGAGACAGATGTGGACAGGAGACAGACGTGGACAGAAGGACAGGTGTGTGTGTGTTTACCATGAGGAAGACCTGCTGCAGCCGCTCGATGCAGTTCTTGTACCAGGGCGTGCTGATGTCCACGCTGCCCGTCTCACAGCGGACCAGATGCTCCGTTAGCAGCATGATGAAACGCTGCAGGACACAAAGGACGTTTAAGAACACGCCGTCACTCGGCTGACGCAGCGCTGAGACAACTCTCTAACAGTTTAGCAGCTATCAGCTAAAACCAGCTACAATCGTTCGTGCTGCATTTTCACAGGAAGACGTTTCTCTTGTTTTAGGTTTCTTTTGATGTGGAACAACTTTTTTTAAAAGACTTTGTAGCGGAGGAGTTAATACTGAACTGACGAAGAATAAAAGCTTCTGACCACATCAGGGTCCAAACTTCTGCTCGACCGGGTCTGTGAACGGGTCGTACCTGGAAGATGACGAGGAAGAGGTTTTTCTGTTCGCTCTGGGCCGACTCCACCTTCTCCTGCAGCCTCTCGATCTGCTCCTCCAGCTGACCCTCCTCATCCTCGCTGTTCTTCTCCATGTCCTCGTCCTCTCCGCTGTCCCTCTGCGGGAGGACAATCACACGACCCTGAGCATCACCGAGCCGCTAGCATTCTTCATCTATTAGCATTCAGCTAACATTCTCATTATTATAGCTTTTAGCAAGTGCTACTCTCATTTAACATTAGCATTTTGATTCTTGGAGCTTTTAGCTAGCGTTTAGCTAGCTGCGTTTTTCCCATTTCTCATGCCCTGAGACGATTTCTGTTGCGACTTTGTGCAATATAAATAAACTGAACTGAACTTAAAATTGTAATTAGCATTCTCAACACACAAAATCAATCAGAAAACGGTTCCAGATAATTATTCTGCAAAAACTTCCAAACCGGAAGCCACGCTGAACGCTGGCCGTTTGTTTTATTTTGTAAAATAAAAGTGACTAAACAAATCTGCATAAAACTTTTTTTTTTTACTTGAAAACTTTAATTTGCCAGCCACTCGTCTGTGATTTAAAGCAATTGTTTTAGCCCTCTTTACTTCTCCAGAAACGAATAAACAACCTCTAAATATTAAAAACAAATGAATAAAACGAACTTTTAGTCGGTGTAAGTGGAACACCGCCTTGGGGGCTACCATAAACATTAAAAGAGGGCTCGAGGAAAGAAATGAAATAAAAATAACAGAAAGGAATGAGATAAATGTGGAATAAAAATGTGCCCATTCCCTGAAGGAACACTAGAGGGCAGTAAAGTTACTGGGAGTTTATGGAACATTCAGAACAACTGAGAAAGTTTTACAAATAAATTCAACAGTTTTAGGATCCGTCAGGAATAATCGTGTTTACCGACACCACCAGTAAATAAAAACAAAAACAAATGCTTTTTCACGAGACGATCCAAAGGAAACAACCAGCCTAACTGCTCCACTTTGCCCTGATCCTTTTTCTGTTCCGCTTCTTCTCGACTCAAATTTCAAACGTTTGTCGAGTTTTGGCTCGTTTTTTTTTCCTCGCACAATATTTGTGACCATTTTTCCTCCTCGTCTGTTTTAATGATCGCCGGCTTTTGCTCCTGAGAAACAAACTCCAACCGTTTTTACGCTTGAAAATGGGCGGGCTGACAAAGACTCTCTGGAAACAAATAAAAAAATAACTTGATAAAAACACGGTTACCCTCTTGTGCTGCTGTTTCTCCAGTTTGTCTTTGGACTCCTCCAGCTCCTTCTGGATCTTCTGAACGTGTTTGTTCATCTTCCGGATGGTCGAGTGCAGGATCTCCCAGACAAAAAGTCTAAACGAGGCAAAGGGAGTCTCCGTTTACGAGTGGCAGCAGAGAGAGCACGTTAAAGATACGAGTTGTTTTTCACTGTTGGCTCACCTGGTGAACTGGTGGGCCATGTCCTGAGAGAAGAGCCAGTTGGCGACGGCAGCACAGTCCACGATCTGCGTCCGAATCATTTTATCCACCAACACCGCGATCATCTGAAGCGCAGCAAGAAGGTAAATACCCACAAACATTCAGGAAGCAGGTGCTTGTATCTGCCATTCGAACCTGCGGGTGGTTCCTCCACACTTCGTACACCACCTTGAGGATGTGCAGCTTCCCGTCGTCGCTGTCCGTCAGGGTTTTAAGGATCTCGTGGAATCTGTGAGCAGAAAAAAAAGCAACCGAGATCAGCAGGTTTGAATCTATTTACAGACAAAACGTCACGTCTGCCCTAATCCTAAACAGAGGTTTAAAATAATATTTTTTTAAAAGTCCAGTAAACTCACATTTGAACAAACTCATTTAGGATTTGGTGACTTTACAATTACAAAAAGACAAAAACAGAAACTTTCCACAGCTGAGTGCACGTTCACAGGAGAAGCAGAAATATATGAGCCAGTGCTCAAACTTAAGGACGTCAAAGAGAATTTT